TAACTTTACTAATCTACTTTTTGTATGAATGATTCATTGTAATATAAATTGAACCGCACCACATATTTGGTATATATATATATAGTATTTATTCAAAAATTATAACAAACATGTTATAACATCACTACAAAAATAACTTCTGGTGTCTTGTCAAGTGATGGTGTTGATTGTAGAATAAAGAGTTTTAAAAAGTTCAAAACCAACCAAACTTGCCTTAATAGGGGAAACATTGTTATGTAAGCTACAATGACGAATCAAAATAGAAATATATAATTCAAAAAGCTTGACAATGAACCTTAGATACAATTTATTAATGCCTTAATGTTAATGTTAGACTAAATTAGAAATCATTCTGATTAATTTCTAATTTTACTATAAAGTTAAAAAAATAAAAATTACAAATTTTAAATTTAATCCTGAATTAAGTTTAAAATATTATAAAACTATTCAAAAATATTTTATATATATATATATATATATATATATTTACTAATGTTCACCCAATACAAGGCCCAAGAGCCACTCATGGTAAAGGGTTACTGAATGAGGAGTTAACAAGTACAGCTTATGAGGATATGTAGGAAAGATAAATTGAAGATCTAAAGATTGTAGTGATCAGAAAAGCATCCTCTCCAGAGTCCATTCCATATATATATATATATATATATATATATATATATATATAAGTGAGAGATAGATAATTGTGTAATATAAAATTATAATAAATTTTAAGTTCAGTTACAAGTCACAATATCACTCATGGTGGCAACAAATAAAAACTGATCATGATATTGGTTTTATTTTGTTTCCTTATTCATAAAGTGTTTAAGTTGTAAAAAGAAAAAAAAGAAATGAGAACTTAGGTTAATTTCTTCATCTTTGCAAAGTAAATTTCCATAAAGTTTTGAATCTCTCCATTTTCAGCTGTCTTTGATGTTCATGGGAATATCTTTTCATTTAGTACTTTTATTCCATTTTATTTTAATGCAATCAGCAGTAGCCTCTCATAATATAACATATTTCAATTTAACATAGCTGCCTCAAAATATACATATTTATTTCAACAATGAAACAGGTTCTTGAACAGGTATCCTATTTTCATAATGTTTCAAATAGCTGCTTCACAGTTATTCCCAAGACACTGTTTTATCATGAGCAGACAGTAAACTGTTGTTTGCTTGTGGTTACATTTTTCATCTTATTTCCAGACTTTAGAATTTAATAGCAAAATTTCCAAATACTGAAACATTTTATAATTGCAATATACTTGCCATTGAAGTATCTTTTTTAAATTTTTCCATACAGTAGTATCAAAAGAATTTTGAACACTAAAATAACCATGATTGCCTAGGAGAGAATTATTGAAACAAGGAACTAGAATAATTATTAAACATAATGCAAAATAATTTACATGCAAATTAACTAAAATGATTGAGTATTTATCATAATAGCTATTGTCTTAATTAGATTTTAATTAAAATATGAAGATTTATTGCTGCTATTATATATAGTGGATATCTGGAAAGTTCATGTTGATTTTTAGTTGTTCGTGTTCCAACACATTAGATCATATCAAATTTATCAACAGACATGCTTACATTTCCAATTAGAACATGCTTCAAACTATCGCTTGAGAAAAAAAGTTTAAAATTACTTAATTCATGTCAATTTTGCATCCATATGAAAATGTAAGATTATAAGGTGCATTTTAGACACTTAATACATTTTTACTGTAAAGGCAAAAATGCTTCGCAAACAACAAAGATATGTTGGTGATTGTAGCCTTATTGATGAAGAATGCTCAGGCAGACACCCCCCATTACAGATGACAAATAAATGAAGATATTGATTGAGAATAGCCCACACTACACAATGCGGGAATTGGTAGAAACACTAAATTTATCAAAATTAACCATCCATAAGCACTTAGTGTATTCAAATCACTACGGTGTGTGGGTACTACATGATTTGAGTGAAAAGAATCTTTTGGATTGCATTTCATCTGTATTTTGCTGTAGAAATGCAATGAAAATGCACCCTTTTTTGAAGCAAATTGTGATGGGTCATGAGAAATGGATTGTTTCAATGTTCAGTGAAAAAGATCTTAGAGTAAGTGACATGAACCAACTTTAGCCATCTCAAAAACAGGTCTTCATCATAAGAAAGTCATGCTATGCATCTGGTGGGAAAGGAATCCTCTACTATGAGCCTCTTGCTAAATAACTAGGCAATTGATTCTGAAGAGTAGTGCTCACAACGGGATGAATTAAAAAGGCGGCAATCCAAGAAAAATGCCAAAAATTGATAAGCAGGAAAGGTGTTTTCCATCAGGATAACCTCCTGTTTCTTTGGTAGCCCAGTAAAAATTGTTGCTGCTTTGCTGAAATATGTTACCCTATCTACCATATTCACTAGATACTGCTCCTTTGCATTTTCATTTATTTAGGTCCTTGCAAAATAATCTCAATGGCAAAAATTTGAATTCTTTTGATAACATAAAAAAGAACCCACCTTAATGAGTTCTTTGCCAAGAAACCACCAAAATTCTGGGAAGATGGAATCTTTAAGTTGAAGGAAAAATGGAGAAAGTTTATTCAACAAAATGGTCTATATTTAGTTGAATAATTATTTAATTGCATAATTTTGTTTTGTATTTTAATTTACCTTGAAAATAGGCATGAACTTTCCAGAGAACCATATATATATATATATATATATATATATATATATATATATATATATATATATATATATATATATATATATATATAGACTATAGATGAAACAAACTTGATTTGAAATTAATAATAATGAAAATACTTCATCTCAAAAAATTTTGATAATTTTAGACTTTTCTAAAAAATGCCATTAGGAAAGTTATGAATACACCTCTCCTCTCCTCCAGTGATATTGAAGTTTTTCGGCTCTTGTTTTGAAACATGAGACCTCTTATGTCGTGAGTTGGAATCATATTTTTAAATAAATAATTATATTTATGCTCTACTTTTGTATCGAGCACTATTTTTTTAAAAATAATAAATAAAATACTAAGGAACTTTGGATTATTTACCTAACCAGTTCCTTCCTTTTTTTATATATATATATATATATATATATATATAATAAAAAAGGCAAACACTAATATTCCATGGTCATAATTTATTCCATTGGAATTGTTTACGATTCCAATGGAATAAATTATGACCATGGAATATTAGTGTTTAAACCTTTTTATTATATCCTTACTCTGTCCTAGACATCGAGTTCTACCTGGATTCTTCCTCTTGGAAAATTTTTTTCTGAAAATATACATGTATGGGTATTTTTATATATATTTTGCATATGTATGTATATTTTCCACTAATATTATCGATATATATATATATATATAGGTAATACAAACTTTTTGAAAACACAAGTTGTCTAATGAAATATGTGTATCTACTAAAATATACAATTTAAAGTGATAAGAAATAATGTCAGGTTAAAAATAAAATACATCAATTCCTTAAAAGTATAAATAATAGTAGATAGTGACAAGTTCTTGAATGAGCAAAAAAAACAAAAAAAAACCTCTGATGTTTGGTCATTTCATTAGATTTTGGTAAATGTGTTGGGGGCTGCTGAAAACCTCTTGCTTGAGTGCACTTCCTCAGGTAATTCAGTGATCTGATGTTTTATAATCGAAATATGGATTTTGGTGGCTGGATTGAGGTGAGAAGTTTTCACCAACCCCTCATATCTACATGTGTGTGTGTGTGTGTTCATTCAAAAGCCTCCCAACACAGTGAAAATTAACACTCTTTTAGTAACTTGTAATTTCCTTTGGGAAATATGATGTAAAATTACTACTTTTGGTGTTGTGTGTTTAATTGCATTCAGAATAGTTTCTTTGATTCATGTTTCATAACATTTCCATTTTCTAATGGATCCTTAAAAGAAATTCCAATATGCTAAGACCAGGAAACATGGATATCATTCTATAGGACCATGGCAACCACTCCTGCAACCTGGAAACTGCTGATCCATCAGTGCTTGATTTACCATATGAATATTGACTTCTGGATCACTCTGTACACATATATACTGATTTCTTTAAAATTAGATAAAGAATCTAGCTTTATGTAGAAATTTATGAGATTTTTTTTTTTAAATCAAAAAAAAAAAAAAAAAAAAAAAAAAAACCTTTTTATTTTGAAATTATTCTTAACATTTTAAAGGTGTTCTTTTAAGGTTGAAAAGATTGCATAATTTTTATTCAATTTTTAAAAAAAATCTTGTAAGTCTTTATATATATGTGATAAAATAGTTAACTAGTAGGAACTGGGAATATTTTTTTTAGCAAGATATTTTGTCAGTCAATTTCAAGTGGTTAAATATACTACAATAATTTTTTTACTTATATTAATTGGTTGTTCTCTATGGTTCTAACTCATTGCAGGTTATTTAAAGTCAGAAAATATTTTTAGATTATGATTTAAGCACTTTACTTTTATAACTTTAATAAAAAAAAAAAAAGAAAAGAAAGAAGTAAACTTTTTACATTATTTTTAAATATCTTTTGAATGTTATTTCTTTTTTTGCCTCAAAGATATTTAAAAAAAAGAAAAAAAAAACAGAAGTAAATTTAAATAAAATATTTTTTTCAGAGATAAATACTTAAAAATAAAATAATTGAACAATGAAAATTATATTTAAAAAAAGAATATCTTTAAAGAAAAACTCTGAATTCTTTTTTTTGTTGTTTTTTAACAAAAAAAAAATTTTTTTTTTTTTAAAAAACAAAATGTTTAAAAAAAATTTTTTTCGAAGAAAAATATATTACAAGAAATTTTGGGAAAAAAATTTCACAAAATTCATTTTTTCCCCTGCTAAAAAGCAAACATTTATAGGCAGAAAAAGAGCAGTAGCAAAAAATATCTAGCACCTCTATGCAGAAGACAAACACAGCAGCAGCAGCAGCATGGTGGGAGGGTTAGGGGTGGGGATATCGTGGATAATTAATGAATTAATAAATTAACGAAGGAAAATAAATCAGTAAATAAAGTGAGTAAAAAAAAAAAAAAATAATCAGGTAAGTAAGTGAAATGAATATGTAAGTAATAGATAAATAGTATGAAATAAGGAATATTGTTGCTGAGAGAGAGGGCGCTTACATAGTCTCCGTAGAAGTCAGAGGCCAAGCCGTTGGGGGCCAAATCGCTGCTAAGGACATAGTCAGAGTCCAGGGAGAAACGCCTGTCAAATACCTTGCCACTGCTGGAGCTATCACCACAGTCTTTGCTTGACCGTTTTTTCATCCATCGTTTTTTGGACACTTTCACCAACTGGATCTGAATATTTCAAGGAAGCAAGCAGTAACACTAAATGACTCGAGAAGAAAATGATGATGTGTTTTAGATGCTCATGTGAAGAGAAAGAAAAACATAGTGAGAAAGAGAAAAAAAATGAGGGAACATACAGAATGAATAGCGAGAGAAATATAGAATAGTAGGGGAGAGATAGGAGAGTGAACGTACAGAGAGAGAGAGAGAGAGAGTGCGAGAGGCAGAGAGAGAGAGAGAGAGAGAGAGAGAGAGAGGCAAGAGAACAGAGAGAGAGAGAGAGTGCGAGAGGCAACGTACAGAGAGAGAGAGTGCGAGAGGCAACGTACAGAGAGAGAGAGTGAGAGAGGCAACGTACAGAGAGAGAGAGTGAGAGAGGCAACGTACAGAGAGAGAGAGTGAGAGAGGCAACGTACAGAGAGAGAGTGAGAGAGGCAACGACAGAGAGAGAGAGAGAGAGAGGCAACGATAGAGAGAGAGTGAGAGAGGCAACGACAGAGAGAGAGTGAGAGAGGCAACGTACAGAGAGAGAGAGAGTGAGAGAGGCAACGTACAGAGAGAGAGAGTGAGAGAGGCAACGTACAGAGAGAGAGAGAGGGAGGCAACGTACATAGAGAGAAAGTCAAAGAGGTAACGTACAGAGTGAGAAAAGTGGTAATGTACAGGTAAAGAAAGAAAACTTAGGGAAGTAAAAGCAAATGTTAAATACAGATTGACTCTTATTTTTCTTTTTAATCTCACAACTAATTTTGATCTCATCAAATAAGATCAGAGGATACCATTTTTGTTTTGATGTCGACCCCTTGAGATGTCAGGCAGTTTAGATTTATTTATAATGTCTGCTGTGGAAAGAAGATTGGACAAGAATGGCTAATTGGATTTTTTGTCATCTTTTATTCAAATGACAGACAGTAAGCGATCAGGAAAGAACAGATGTAGTTTGCATGAATCATTGACTAGCTAGCCAACAGATTGTAAAGAGAAAGTTAGATAGGTATCAATAAATTGGCATGTTGAGATGGATCCATCATAAACACAGTGGAGAATGAGTGGCAGAAAGCAAGGAGGAAAATCAGAGATGGAGAAGAGGAGAAAGAAAAAGATCGATGAAATGGAAGACAGTAAAGTACATCATTTACATTATTCGGACTACTGTCCTCATCTTTGTTGCCATATTTATTACAACGTTTCAGCCGTTGTATGCTCTGGCCTTCTTCAGGTGATTGGAATGTTGAACTTAACCCTTTATTTTGCTCACTGGGGTAGACTGTTCTAGTTCCACATGCAATGTTATCAGTTATCTCCTGTTAATTTCCCTCTGAAAGTTCTCCACTGCCTTAACCAGGTATTGAACTCACACTCTTTGGGTCCTGTCACTGTGCCATGTGTCCTTGAGAACATCTGTGTAAGAATTTCTGGGTATTATAAACCTAATGTCTTCAGCAACTATTTTTTACCAGTGCTCATATTGTAATTTTTGTTGCTGTTATCATTGCATGTTTTTACCATAGCTCATATTGCAACTTTTGTTGTTATCACTTTTCTCTGGCACTCCTTATTACTGGTTCCCATATTGTATTCATTTCTATGCTTGGTCGACTCAGGGCTAAGTTCGACATTTCAACCACCTGAAGAAGGCCTGAGAATACAACAGCCAAAACGTTGTAATAAATATGGCAAGATGAGGACAATAGTCCGAATAATGTAAATAATGTACATAATACCTCATCTCAGAAATATAGACAAAGACAGTAAAGATAGTGATGAAGTAAGGAAGAAGATGAACAGATAAAACAGAGACATAAAAAAAAAGAACAAACAGGCGGCCATTCTACCAGGAAATGGTATATGTCTCAGGAATCAAGTATATCTGATTCATGGTCAGAAAAATAAACTAGATTTTGACTAAGTAGCACCGGTGTATCATTACCTAATGAGTTATTTACATGTGTTGCGATATCACAGGTAGGATTTAATAAATAGGTCAAAGCTTTCATGTATTCTAATGATTACAAATAAAGAAATAAATATTCAGGTGATAAATAAAAATGAAACAATGATTGTATTTTTAGTGCCAACTTCATTTAAATCCAGCATGCATAGACAAGGTTTCAGTTTCTGTTTGAATTCCAGGGATGAAGAGTTAACATTATTTACATGCAGACTATTGTTCTCATTTTTGGTGTTATTAAAACAACATTTCAGTCATTTTTGCCATACGGCCTTCATTAGGTTCTTGTCAATCTGGGTAACATTCATGAAATTTTGAATTGAACTCATTATCTTATGTGCATAAGGTGCAGGTTTTTCTTTCATCCAAAATAGTTGCCAAAAATCTGCTGCGTCTTATACTTTAGTTTAGAAATCAATCCCATTTTTTCCAGGACTCAAAATGGACAAAATTGGATTTATTTGTTAACTGGAAAGATAATATCTATCTAATAGCATATTGTAACGAAGGGAGATAAATGTTTCATAATTAAAACCAAAACAACCAGTATTTATTTTGATTTATTTTCTCAATGTGTACTGGTGACTTAGTTGCCTTATATCCCAAAAGTTATTATCACAATTTTTGTAATGCTTACGAATCACAAAAGTAAAGAAAATGTCCCCCCACTCTTTTTTTTTTTTTTTTTCGTAAGTTTTGGTCATTTTCTTTGCTTTAAAACCAGGTTGTGTTATATACACGAAAATAAGCTTTTTTCTATTGGAATTTCCCTGCTCTTTTAACTGCATCTTATACTCTCCTCAGCAATCTATACACAACAGTAATTGTTCTTTTCCACTGACCATATCTAAGGATATCTCATCTACTTCATGCTTAGGGCTACTCTGTTTTAGCTTATCCTGTTTTCCCATAGTACACACTGCCTGGCTTAGGTATTGAACCCACAATTACTGTCACCAAATTCACAAACTAATGTTTTAATCAACTATTATCCTGAATGGAGAACTTAATCTGCCTGCTGATGAGAACTTGATTTATCCCACAGCATGGTCAGCAGAATGAGAACAATTTATCCTCATAGATTAAATAGTGGATGTAGTTCAAATTTCTCTGAAGGTTACCTGAATCAACAATCACCTGATGAAGGCTGAAGGGTGCAATGGCCGAAACAATGTGATAAGAACAAAGATGAGGATAATAGTCTGCAACATGTTTTTAGTCACTAATAAACTAAATATTTCTTGTGGGAGAGAAAAAAAAATGTGATTTAAAATGGAATTTTGCAATTTCTGACCTAAAAGTTATTGTAGAAATTGAATGAAAAACCTGATAAAGGGATTGTTAATGGTCTGGAATTAATTCCGGCATTACTAAAATAAAGCTGTTACATGGATAATATAATGAAATCCAAATAATTTTGCTATCCAAAGACAGAAAAAGTATTCAAAAGAAAGAATAAAAAATCCTTGTCAGTGATCAAGAATTAAGAGAACATGACAAAGAATAAAATTTAAGAAATACTGGAAAAACTAAATTAAAAATGAATTAAATTTTTCTTGTCTGTCATATTCAATGAAACATGATTGAAAAGAAAGGTTGCTGCCCAAATATATATATATATATATATATATATATATATATATATATATATATATATATATTATATATAAATTTTAAGGTATGCTATATTTATGGGTAAAAGTGCTCAATATCAGGGATAGAACATATGCAAATAAAAAACTGTACACTGAGGTCAACACCAAGTGGCAAAAGTGTTTCAGGCTTGAATGAAATCTTCAAGTTTGTATTAAAACATGAAAGACTGTTGCTACTTGGTGTTGATTTCAGTAACAGTGGAATAATGAATATCGACTCAGATTGAGGAATCAGAGAGCTGAGTTTGAATTCCAGTTGAGTTACATTTATTTACGTGTAAATACCTTTGGGAAAGGTAGGAATTCATTTCTTCTCCTGTTAACTATGAGTAAATAGTAGGACAGGCTGGGTTCTATAGCCTTGGGTGGTAACCAGTCTGAAAGAAAGATAACTGAATTCAAAACCTGAAGAGCATTGCTTGGGGTCCTTGTGGCACACTATGTGCACCAGTTCTTTGTATTTGGTCCTTCCAAAAAGTAGTGTGGTTGGTTCTGCACAAGTCTTCAACATTATAATTATGTGTGTGTAGTCTGGGAGTTTGGTTCTAAGAACAGAGTTGGTGTACCTTCATATGCTGAAAATGATAAGAGAGTCATATATATATATATATATATATATATATATACTCAACTTTCCCGTTGAATTCAACGTATGAGGGTCAAGCAGATCAGTTCCTAAGAAAAAACCAACAGCCCGACAACAGCACATGAGATTTGATTATAGTGGTTAAGGTTTTGTGCAGGATCAACCACACTTTTTGAAGAGCAGAATACAGAGACCTGGTGCACTACATGCCACAAGGTACCCAAATGACCCTCCGCAGGTTTTGAATTCAGAGTTGTCCTTCTCCTAGACCAGTGTGTGTGTGTATATATATATATATATATATATATATATATATATACACACACACACACACACACACACACACACACCCAAATAGTAAGAATAAAAGCTAAATCTAAAAATAATCTAAAAGCTTAAAATACATACACTGACTGATCAGAACCAACCAAATTTTGGGGAGAATTGCAAACAGGTAAGGGGGTACAAAGTACAATTGGATTTAATAGGGTGTGTAAAACTGAAGCAGGGTTTTTGTCAAATTATTTTTCTAAACAAATCAGCTTATTTGGGATATTGATTGATGCTCTAATAAATTCCGTTTAAAAACTAAGAGAAGTAACATTTAACTAAAATTGCTTAAAAATAAATTAATCAAGCTATTTACATTTTAAATACTAGTTAAAAAAAAAAAGAAAAGAAAATATAATGTGTAAATTTTAGATAAAATAGGTTCCTCCCAAAAAATTATCCTTAATGGAAGAAATTTGTTTAAAAACTAAGAGAAATAACATATAGCTAAAATTGCTTAAAATAAATGAATCAAGATATTTATTTACATATTAGAAACTAGATATTTGTATAGCATCTTGAAAACAGATTCTTTTAAAGCTTGGCTTTTTTTGAGAAAGCAACAGTGAAAAGTTAATGTTTGTTTACTATTTTAACAGAAGAAAAATAACAATCAAATTGTATCTCTATGATTCATTTATTTTCATTTTATTAATAGGTATAGAATCATATGAAGTTGATGCTGAAGATATCAATGCTATCTTTTGCATAATATAATAATTGTAATATAAGCTGTTTCTTTGTGGAAACATTCAGCATCCATTGCCCATACTGTTTCTATTAAAACAATTTTTCATTTTATTAATAGATATAGAATCATATGAGGTTGATGCTGGGGGTCTTATTTCCTCCTCCTTGTTTTGATCAGTTTTGAAATGTTTCTGTATGTGGGTCCTTGCAAGGCATGTAAGATGTTATGGATGGATAAAGTTCTAGGAGATTGATGCATTCACAACTTAGCAAGTAGTTTCTGATAGATAAGGAGACAAAGTCTCTATTGATGTGGTCATATTCTACTGTGAGGTCTAAATAGCAAGTATGAAATTTCTTAAGTAGAACAATTTTTTATGGAAGAGCTGATAGCATTGACTGCATGGTAATGTTGATGGAAGACAAGGTTGATTTTGTTGAGCTTTTCTCTCTTGGTTCTGATGGTAATGGAACACAGCCAGTTGGTATGGTTTGGGGCTTGTGTTTCAAACAATTTAGGCCAGTGGTTTTCAGTGTTGTTTTGAGTTGGTCCTTGTATTTTCGAAGAGGGTAAGCCCATGGTCTTTTCACTGAAGTGAGCTCACTGAATAAGACTTGATGTAAAAACCCTGACTTTTCTATTTTTGCTATATGTCCTGATCATTGAAGACTGTTTAATGGTCAGCAATTCAATGCTTTGATTGTTAGCTCTTTCCAGGACTTTATTATTGGTCACACAGTATTTCTATTTGATGTCCAAGGTTGAATGAAGACTTTGCTGGTGAAAGTGTTCTAATTTTTGGATGTCACAACAATACAGAGACCAAGTTTTGCAGTCATATAGTTGAAATAACAACATTATAAACTATAATTTTAGTTATGTTCAAATCTTTGTTGCTGAAGATGTGTTTGATTAACTTTACAAATGTTGTGCACGCAGCTCCAATTCTGAGTTCCACATCCTTTTCTGAGGTGCACTTGTTTGGTAAAAGGCGGCCTAGATAGGAAAATGCACGACTTGCTCAAGAGGTGTATCACAGATGGTAATATCAAAATCTGGTAAGATATTATTTGGGGCTGGCTGTGCATGGCTCTTGATGTTTACTGTAAGGCCAAAACAATGGTAGGCCATAGCAATGTTGTTCACAGATTACTGGAGTTCTTCCTTTGAATGATGGAGGGCAGCATTGTTATCATATTATTGAAGTTCTGAGAGGTGTTGATTGTGTGTTAAATGTTTAGATCAAAGTTTATTAAGGTTGAAAAGTCACCCATCATATCTATATCTGATGCCAGCTCCTGGATTGTCTGGAGAAAGTTTGAGAAGCATTGCAGCCAGATACAGGGAGAATAACATAGGTGTCAAGACACATCCTTGTTTTAGTCCACATGTGATTGGAAATTCTCCCGACATGTTTTGGTGGAATACATGTCCAGACATATTGTCGTACATTGCTTGAACCAGAGAGATAAAGTAGTCAAGAAATCCAAAATGATGAAGAACTTTCCACATAGCAGCTATCAGAATGCCATCAAAGATTTTTCTCATTACCGTAAAACTATATTTTTATCACTCGCATACACACACACACACACACACACACACGTGGGTAACAGG